ATCTGAAAATTCAAATACACCATGTGACATGAAGATAAAATGAGGGATTAATAGATTTCAAAGAGAACACGTGAAATACATCCCTTTTCTGAAATAAATGTGTCTAAACCTCACCACAAAGTTGATAAAAAGGGAAAATGGAAGGGGAAGAAGAGGGAGGAAGGGAAAGGGGAAAGGGAAAAGAAAGAGGAGAACATATTTGCCAAATCAAACCAGAATAAAAGCTGGAAGGAGTTTTCTGTTATACCCTCAGTAATGTTACTTTTGTAATTCTATTTGGCAGTGAAAAAGATTTTGAACTTTGAACCCTTGCCATTCATTTCTGTACTGTGACCTCAGTAGCCTGTTTGATTGCCAGCCTGTTGAGGTACAAAGAGAAAAACAGTGGGAAATGACACAGCAGAAATCAAATTGCATGAGTCATATTTATTTATTTTTTTAATTTCCTTTATGTTCCTTATGTAATTCTGATGGCAGCAGAGCTAAAGTTAATGAACAGTAGTAAAAGCATCTGCTGTAGCTGTGTCTGTAGATTCACCTCTGTGTTCACAACTGCAGCTCTGCAAAATTCACCCAAGGTCTCTTTGAAACAAATTTTTTGGTGAGGTGAAAAATATAAGAATTATATAGCTCATGAAGGAACCACATAGTGTTGTCATACCATAAATAAATGTTGATTTTTCCTCATTAGTGACTACAATAGCAGTGGGTAAAAATTTTTGAAATTCTTTTTTTTGCACTCCATTAGGCTGCTATAAAATATTTATGAGGTTAAGCAAACTGAGCAACTGGAATACTGTGAAATGTTCACTGTGCCTTTTACACAGATTACCAAAGGCAAGTATCACCTTCTTCCCCTCAGGGGTGCCCAGACTTTCCGAAGTAGAAGAGAAAAACCCCATCAGATTAGTTTCGGGGCTTTGCAGCAGGAGGCATTACTTGTACATAATTGCTCAGTTTCATTATTCATGGATTAAGAGCAAGGTGCTCAGGTGAAAGAAAGTGGCAAGGGCCAGGGCACTACAGGAAAGATATTTAAGGGTTAATTCAATAAAATACTTTAATATAACTTATGAAAAAATAATCTCCTGAAAGAGGAAATGCCAAGCATCTAATTAATTTGTGTGTGTTGGTATTGTCATGTGTAATCCATGTAAGGAAGTCCATAGGGGACCAATTACTTTCTCATGAGAATCACATGAATAAGGGTAGGGTTTTGTTTGTGTTTTAATTTTAGTGCTTACTCCTAGAAATTAAATAGTGAATGCACTCTAATAGCTCTAATTCCCACAAATGTTCCACTCACGTGAACTTTGTTTTCCCTTGAAGGGAGGCAAGCAGAGCTACCAGCAGGGTAGCAGGATGCTGGGCCAGGGGTCAAGAGCTTCTTGATTATTCCAAGCTTTCTCCCTTAGTTTCTTTAGGCCAAGTTCCTTAGGTCTAAATCCTCAAATGAGGAACTTAAATCCAATGAGTCTTGCTTGGCTAACTTGAGGAACTTGTTGCCTAAAACACGCTGGCTTTGGGAAAGCTGCTTACCCAACTTAGTCTTGATTTCCCAGTCTGATATATAAAGTCAATTCAATGTAAGCTACTACAGGCAGATTCATGAAGATTTGTATGCATACAATCAGGTGTAGGTCTTGCACAAATACCTGTGTGATAAAACTGTGACCTTGAGTCCTCTCTTCATTTGCTACTTATCCCTGAAGGCAATTGGACTCCATGGTCATCCACATGCCAGCTGCTGGGAAACAGAGGCTCCCTTGAGCCCATGCCCAGAAGAATCTTAGACCTGACAGTTCTGTGACATGGCACATCTATCTTAACTAAGTTCATCATTGTACAGAAACTAGATTTATGTATTTGTCCAGCAAAGATCTGGCTACAGGCATATCAAATTGGATTCAACTGAAAATGCACCATATATTTTGACTAGGTTTTGAATATTTTTCTGCTTACCTGAACAGAAAATATACAACATACCACCATCTTAGAAGGTGTTTTAACATGATAGTTATGGAGGTGGGAAACATGGAGACTGAATCTGGACTACTTACCCTCTGACTAGTATCGGTAGGTTCAAGAGATTCATTATCAGCAAGAGGTTGCCTGGGGGAACAGTGGCCTCAGTATCTCCACTCTTTTCTAGAAAGCAATCATCCTGCCATCCTGCTTTTAACCAGATAACCTTATTTCATATTGCTTATGTTAGCAATCCTGAAGTATGGTGGAGCTAAAGCCAGCTTTAGGCAAGTCCCCTGTTTAAAGAGGCTCCTCTAAGACTGCCAGAGTAGCACAGAGCCATGACTTCAAGTGAAAGAGGCTGGGATTAGTTGTGTTCTCTGTTGTGGGATGGGAGATGAGGTTGCATTGTGCTGTCTTGATATCACTGGCAGTTTTTTTGAGAAAGAGTTAGCATCTGCCTTACTTGCACATTAGTACTGGACTGCCCTGAGGCAACCAAAGAAAAGGGGAATATTGTCACTACCCACACTTTCAAAATAAAACAGTAAGCCATTTCCATTCAGCTTCCTTTAGAAAAGGTCACAGGCTCTTTGCTTCAATGAGTTCTGAACAGATGCAAGCACCTGAAAAGTGCTGTCTTTAGGAGATGACTATATTCTCAGAGTTTTCCTGCTGTGTTGTTATAGGCAAATCCCTGTTCCATGTTTTGGCCTTAGGGATTTTCTTTGCTGGAAGTGCTGATTATTTTAAAGACTTCTAGAATATAATTTATTCTGCCTAAACACTGAATAAGGAGCTGAGGAACCTACCTCAGTACTCTAGGTCTCAGCCTCAGGAAGGCCAAATCATCACTCTAGTCTGTGTCAAAGCACACGGGTGTCAGCTTGGAGCCTGTCTCAGATTTTTATCTGGTTTAGTTTCCTCTAAAGGTTAAGCTTTTCTTGCTATAAATACCACAAAAGTAACTAAGTGCTCTGCGTCATATATAATACAAATTTCAAGCACTTTTACAGCCTTAAGACTGACAGATAAAGAAAATAAACTACTTTATCTATGTCACAGTCATGACTGCACTTGAATCTGTGGAGTGAATGCAACTCTTGTAGGTGACAAAATACTAGTGTCAAGAACAGGTGTGCACTGCAGAGATCTGTTGGATAGCAGAATGATGGGGTGATACTGGGGCTCACAAGACCACACTGTGAGGTGGGGAGGACGAGATTACACTGCCTTTTAATTCTCTTGGGTTCCTGGGAATGCAGCTGACCTCCAGTACAGGTCACAGCTGCTCAAATGTGCACTGTGGCACATGTTTGCTGTGGGTAGAAGGTTGTTACAAGAGAGGAGGCAGCTGACAAGTAAGGAGTTATGGCTCCATCGCTGCAGAGGTCAGGGATCTCCAGCTCTCTGGTCTACATGCTGCTAATCTTTGCAAACAAAGTGTTTCATGCCACAGCCTTGAATTCATAGTGCTGGGAATATTTTTGGTCTAAAGATCAAAAATTTTTGAATTTGGTTTTCAACTTCATCCAAAAATCATGTTCTTAATATAAAAGAACAAATGCTATTTAACAAAACTGGAACCATGGTCATAATAAATAAGGGATAGTTACTTGCAATTTTATATCCCCTTTCATCCAGGATTTTCTGTATGCAGTATAAGCATTCATTAATGAAACCTCATGATAGCACTGAGTTACAGCTATTTAAAAGATAGAGGATTGATACCAAGAGACTAAAAAACTGGGTTGCAGAGGGATTGGCTGTAGAGCCAGTGATTAAAATATAACAGAAATTCTGGTATTACATACTTCTAAATAATTGTGCATCATTCAGAAGTCATTGATAAATATTTGCCTTCCTGAAACCTGAGACATGCTGCACTTCCCCTGAAGTAATGCAGTGTTACCTGATCATTATAGTTGCGTGGTCTCTTGTAATTCATAGACCCATGGATGGATACAACTGTGAAGGGTATTAGGAGAACCTTTAGTCCACTTCTCCAGAATAGTAGCTTCTGAGAGATTTGTTAGGACAGGCTGTTTTGCAACAGTATAATGTCCTTTAAGACCTCTAATGTTAGAGATCCTCTGGCCTTCATCAGTAAAACATTTATATTGATTTTCTATCTCTACACTTGCAGTACTTTCCATGAAGTCTGACTTGCATTTTTCTTCTAGTAATTTAAACCTCTAGCTTCTTGTCCCATACTCTGTGGCAATGAGTACCAGATGTTCCTCCTCATCCTTTCACAACAACCTTATACACACTTGAAAATGTTATCATGACCCTCATCATCCTCTTGTTTAGATCCCTTTGATCCCGGTGCAATGCTTCCTTGACTTCTGACTGTTATTGTGTCTCTGGAATATTCTCCAGCTGGTCTGCAACTTTCTAGAAGGTTATTGCCTGAAGGTTATTGCAAACCTGGGGCATAGCTAGGGGGACTTGACCACCACTTGCAGTTCTCAATAAGCCCTTATGTTTAGTTGCAGAATGGCTATCTGGCCAGTTCCCTATCTTTAGTTTCCACAGCTGAGAACTCCTGCCTGAGAGCTGCATTTGTCTCTACTGAATTTCACCTTGTTCTTTTCAGCCCATTCTTCCAATCTGTCAAGATGATTTTTGAATTTGAATCCTACCCTCCAATTTACTCACAGTCCTTCGTAGCTTCATGTCAGCTGAAAATTTAATAAGTGTATGTTCCATTCCATAACTCAGGTCATATTGCATAGACTTTTATGAGCTCTGGGAAGAGTGAAAGAAATCAGCAGACAATCTGACAAAAGCCTCTACTTCTATGTACCACTCAATGGCAAATAAAGTTGGTGTTTGTTTTTTTTTTTTTTTCTTTTCTTTTCTTTTCTTTTTTTCCCCAAATATATCTGAGTCTTTGATTTTAGTGCTCTTTTTAAAACTCCTTTTTTTTTTTTTTTTTTTTTTTTTTTTACCCCTGCTTTACTTATCAGAATAATTTTTCTAATACTAACTATTATGTTAATGGTTTTTAAAAGTTCATTGCAGGATAGAGATGTCAGATGGAGAATGATAACCACTCACATTGTGCTAGTATTTTTAATGTTGAATTAAGCTATAGAACTCACTAATACAATACAAATGCCACTAATATGACAAAGATTATCCAAAACTGCTGACACCACCAACCTCCAAGGGAAAATTTCTGTGTTCAGCTTTAATCAGGCCTTTCTCAGAAGCTTTTATGTAGCTTTCCACTCATGCAGGTCAAGGCATCTGCCAAAAGAGTATTTTCCTTGCTGTTTATGTAGTGCAGCAAGTGACCATTTAGCTTAGAGGAAAGAACGTAAATCCTAATGTGTTTGATTTGTGGGGCTATGGTGGCACCTTTTCCGTCAGAAACAAAGCTTTCTCCTAGCTCAGCTTACTCAGCAGGGACTGTAAAGCTGGATAATCCCATGAGTTTCAGCTGTTGAACCTGTTGCACATACTTAATATAAAATGACAGAACCACTGTTCTTTAAACTTTTTTCTTTTTTTTCTTTTTTTTTTTAAATTCTGAAGGTATTGTGTATTGGCCCATCCTGAAACAAAACTTACAGTAACAGTTAATGTCATCTCTGTAGCAAACCTTTGCAATTTACATTCACAAGCAATCTGCAGTTACCTGGAAAGCAAATGATTTTAGTTTAGGTTATATAACAAAGTTTGTCTTGGCTTATGTAAAACACATCATGAAAACCATACAAATCTTTAAAAAACATCTTTAATGTGGGAAGCAAAAAAAAGTCTGGAAAATAGTTTTCTTTTTTCAACTTTTCTTTAAGATTTCATTTACTATAATTTATCTACATCCATAATTTTTAAAGTGATTGCGAATGTGAGTATCTGCTTGTATCCTGAGGAACCCAACAAAAAGGAACCTGAATAGGTTTTTATATTTGTTATATTCTATATGACATCTTGTACTACCTTTGTCAGTATAAACCAGATGAGTTTTCTGTGATACCCAACAGCTGCTTCACAGGATGCACCTTCTCTTTTACCCTCTTCATATGGTATTTTTTTAGTAAGTAATGTTTTCAATGGTTTCTGTGAGGAGTTTTAAAGTTAGTTGAAGCCTTTACATTTTAGACTACACTACCCAGAACTCTTAACAGGCTGCAGACTGAGAAGCTAAGATGTGCTGACTTTTCAACAGGTTAGTCTATGGTCCTTTTTTGCCAAAAATAAAAATCCTCACTTCAGATGTTCTCCATCTTTAACAAGGAAGATATACCATAGAGTATATTCTTTCAATTTATGCTTTTAGCAACATTTCTGGGGGCGTCATTTAGTTCTGTGTTAGAGCCTTTTTTAGTGCAATGGCAGATCTCTTTAAACTTTGCCCGAAGTAATAGCAACTAAAGTTTGTGGGATGACTTGATCCTAAGGAAACCTAAATATGTTGCCAAGAAGGGCATTGACACTTACTGGCATGCATTTCTCTATCAGACTGTTGATATAACCTCAAGCAAAATAGCAAACAGTGCTAGCTGAAAGACCCAGTGCGAATAAATAAAGCATTCAGAGAGGAGGGATTCATAAATAACACTTCAAAAATTATAAAAAGTATCTCTGGGCACAAAAGGACTTACTAATTATTTTTCACTACTTCTTCTTGGTAGGATTCTCCAGAACATAAGTGGAAGTCCTCATGTTTCTTTTTTTACCCCAAAGAGACACTGTCATTATAGTCAGCCTGTCTGTGATATCTCTCTTTTCAAAGGCCCGTGTGGACTGGACACACTGTGTAAATTAAATATTAGGTTTGGAGTCTTTCTTGGTATTGTAGGACCTGCTTGCAGGGCCCCAAGAGAGGCACATTGAAAAACAGGCTCAGAAGCAAATGGATCCAGGGTTGCTGCTATGTGGTCAAACCACTTTATATTCTTAACTCTTCTCCTGTATTCCTCAAGGGCTGGTCAACAAAACAGGGAGTATGGGAGAATTGTCTTAGAGATTTGTTGTTGTTATTATATATGTCATCAGTTGTCAAGAGCAAAAAGAACTTGTCAGCCTAAAACAAAACTGAAAAATGTATCTCGTATTTCTGCAGTGAAGAATCATTTGTGAAAGAATTGAGAGGAATAAAGTTTGGTTGTGATTCCTAGAATAAATTACAAAGACTTTGGAACTGGCTAAAAGGAAAAATAATAAGCACTCCCAAAGGCAATCCCTGCCTTCTAATTTGTTATGATACCCCAACCTAGACATATATTTTTGCCTTTTTTGAATAATAGTCTAATATTATGGGGCCAAACTAAGAGTGAGTAATGTCTCACTTCTTTGAATCTTCACAGTATAAATTCACCAGCATAAATTCTCAGCTTGGCCCACTGAATGTTAAAATCTATCACTGCTAGCCATAATCCCACAAGAGTCAACATCTGATATATAGAAAGTTGTTTTCAACTACATTACCCTTGGGAAGAAAAAAAAAAAAAAAAAAAGAGGTTGTTAAAAAGAGGTTGTTTAATATATCTCTTCAGAGGTACCTTGCTGGTGGTATGGTAACCAGCAATTACAGCAGTACTTCTGATTTCTGTATATTATCTCTCATAAAGTAACATTAAGGAAAATCAAGAATGTCTTTACCACCAACAAAAGACAGACTAGCAACATCAGTGGCATATTGACCTATTTTCAACCAAAGTAATTTATATTTCACCATTACTACTTGTAGAAATGTGTCATGGATCTAAAATACTTCAAAAGTGAGGAGGGACATCTTGTCCTTTCTTTAGGGCTTCTGTGGTATGTGGTCCTAATTACCATTATGCTTATCAGAAAGTGGAGATTCTTCTCTACATTGTTATAATTGACATTTTCTTTGGAAAACAAAGACCTTTGCCTGTTTAAAAAAAAAAAAAAAAAAAAAAAAGTGAATATTTGACAGTGAAATTCAGTGAAATTGCAGTGTGGTACCAGCTGTGCATCATAACAGACTTTCTTCACTTCCTAGTTCTGGGCTCTCACATGGGATTATCTTCAGTAGCCCAGAGGATATGGTGGACCCCCTCAGTTGTGGAGGTTTGGGTTGTACCTTCAACAACAAAGACAACTGCAGAGGAGATCTTGTGTTTAGGTAAACTGCCTGGCTTCTAGTGAAAGGGAAGTATGAGGAAAGTCTGTGGAAAACAGAAAGAAAAATAAAAGAAACTTTTTAAATGCAAGCTTAATCTGCTTATGAAAAAGAGGTAAATCAATTGAAATTTCATCCAAAAATATGTTGATGAAATGTGATGGACAAACTCCAAATTTTATGACTTTTGGCACTATTTTCAGTTCAGGAGAGTGGGAAATAAATTTGGGAAAGAACTGTGGAAAATAAATAATAATAAAAAAACTTTAATCAAAAGCACTGAGCAAGTGAAGGAGTTGAGAATAAAACATAAGAGAAAATAGCAAGTTTTTCTGAAACCTAGGCTGATTTATATCTGCCATATAGATGCACTGTTACAGATGACTACAAATATCTCTAAAATATTTATGTATTTCTATTTCTCAGTATTCATATAGAGCAGTTATATGTCAGGATGTATAGGGCCACTTTTTTTTTTTTTTTTACCCTTATACTTCATGACCTGAAAGTTGGACTTAATTGCATACTATCAACCCTCTTTGATAATAAACAAAGAGACAAATATCAAATGTATCTCAGCTAAAATTATTACCTTGTGAAGGTGTGGGTGGGAAAGAAGGTTTCATCCAGTCATGAGGATAGCCCTTGTTCTTGTCACTGAATTAAAAGCAGAAAACACTGTTGAGATTAGGAGAAGACCAGAGCCCGCTCAGATGACAGACAGAGCTGCAGTGACATAGAGGCAGCTTTGAGGAGCTGTGATGACTCAAATAGAAGTGACCTAGAGACTGTGGAGGGATACCATTAAAAACTTGTTGACCCAACACCAGATATGCGGACACTTGGGCAAAACCAGTGGTAGAGGACCCAGTCTTCTTAGGACACCTCCTCAAAATGCAAATTCACTGCACCTTTATTGTTGTTCATGGAATGTAGGAAAAGTATTGCCACAAATATTTCAGCATTTACAGGTATCCCCAAAGACTATGAGATATTTTTAAGAGATTTAAGGACTTATCTTCAAAGATAAAGACATGGGCTACTCTCATGAATAGTGGTTTGGGGTAGGATTTCCCAAAATGCATTTCAAGTATAACTACTTCAACAGATGACAGGCAACAGAGGGAATATTCAGAGCTCTCCAGTGTAGCTCTTGCCGCCCATGGGATGACACCTGCTGACAAGTTGTCCTCCAATAGTTCTTTCATCAGTGAGTGCTGGCTTAGCTTTCCAAAACTTGTGGTCTGTTTCTTTCCCTTCTCAGCCCTCCACCAAGAAATTTCTATGTTTTACTTGCATGGATTTGTTGCTTGTAATGAAAGAAAGAAAACTGGAACACCTAGTTCCAGTTTTACATCACTAAGTATCACCATGGCAGTTCATCACAATGAATTGGGACTTACACAGTTTCCTTTTTAACCTTTGCAATTTTGGACCCTACACTGAAGTCAAACTTCTTTAAGGTTTTAAAATGGTTAAATAACATTTTTATTTCACCACGCCAATATATTAGGATAGGTATCAAAAAGACTTTTTTTTTTTCTGTTGTTTTAAGTTGGAAAAACACTTGTAAAAAAAATCAAATCAAAATAGCTATTCATTAGAATTTCTGACAATTTTTCAAGAGTTTCAGAGAAGCTTTGGATAGAACTTCAAGACTGAAATAATGTTTCAGCCATTTAGGCATACACTCAGTTGAGCAAGGTGCACAATTTTTCTTTCTGCCATAGTTTCCCTTCATGAGCTAGCAGCCAGCTATTGACTTTTGTTTGTTCATTTGGAAAGTGCTACAGTTCAACAAAATCCATGTTCCATTAGCTTGCCTGATGAGATGAAATCTCGACAGGTTGATAATGAGAAAGAACATGAAAGAACTGTATTTAGATGTTCATTATAGAGAGTGTATTTTCCAGGGGATTCTTCATAGCCATGCTTTGGGCAGCTATCACCATTTTTATAAAACTAAACTGGGCCAGGTGTGTACTGTATTTAAACTGGTAGTTAGTTCATCACTTTCTGTAGGTGATGGTCTTTCAGAAGTCTTCCAGACCAGTTTGTGATCTTCAGGGAGTTTGCCAGCACAGTTCTAAATAGGCACATCTTCTGCTTTGACAAAGCAAAAAGTGTTTGATGATAAGGGAAGATATCATAACTTAGTGTCTGCAATTATTGTGAAAGCATGAATACAGGGGAGTAAAGCATGGATTTAGATAACAAATTTTATTTATTATCTTGTAATGTTATCTCTTTCCCCTTGATTGCCCTTTTACAGGTTATCTCAGAACTGAAGTTTAGTCACATACATATTATACTATTAAATATGAACTTTGAGAAAGAAAGGAATGATTGTACAGTGATGGGATAACTAACAGGTCTTCTGGGTAGGAAAAAACTGGTAGATGTCTCATATCTTGAATTAAATACACATCTGGACATTCAGATGCATGATTGCATCTGAATTGATTGCATCTGAATGTGGACTGGATGAAAACAATTATTAGATTAATACATTACTCATTGGAAAGAAGTGTATTAAAAGAGTAGGTATTACTAATTCATGATTAAATTTGAGGGATGGACTGAGGGGGTGTTTACAGGAGTTGTCCTGAACACTATGCAATGTTTCTGTTTGTGATTTGCAAGACAGGGTGGAGAAAACATGTATTAAGTTCACCAGTTGGGCAATACGTGTTTGAGAAGACAGGATAACAATTACAACAGTGTTGATAAATTGGAGAAATAGTCTGGAAAAATAGAATGCAATGCAATAAGGAAAAAAATGAAAATTTCTGCCTTTTTGCAGGAATAATAAACTGCGCAAAAAGCAGAAGGGAAGGCAGCATATCTTCAGAAATGAACTGGGGTTTAAAGTAAGTCTCCATAAAAAGTAAAGAGAAAAAGTAATTGTTAAAAAGGCAAACAAATACGTGTGTATACTCATTAAGTAACAGTTGTAACAGTAAGATTTCTGAGTAAGGTTATGTCTTCAGTATGTGACCTGTGGCCAGCTTAGGTGCTGGAGAAAGATGCATGTTAATTGGAGAGAGACCAAAGGGCAGCAGTGAGAATGATAAAGATTAAGGAGGGACATATGGGGAAAAATGAAGGTGTTGGATATTTTTGGTCCAAGTTCAGAAGACTAGAATTTTAAATAACAGTCCTTAGATGAGTGAGAGAATGAGCTCTTCCTTGTGTCTGCCTGTCAGATAGGAACAGATGCTCCTAAATTACAGCAAGGCAATTGCAGGCATAAGAAAGTGTACAAACAAAGGGTAATGAAGAGATGGAGAGATGTCCAGACAGCTCTGGAAACCACATCTGAGAAATGTTTAAGAGCAGTTTGGGCAAATACTTGTCACAAATGACATAAGAATAGATCACCTAGTCTCAGAGTAGAGGAATGACTGGATGACTCCTTGAGTTATTTTCAATTCTTATTTTCTGTAATTCCAGGACTGTGTTCACATTTAACCATGTTTGTATTCCATTAGCTGAGATAGCCTTACACTTCATTTTCAATATTTCTGTTCCTAGGACACAATGACATGTCAGCATTTCCTCCAAACCTACAAAAGGACTATCTCATCCAAAATGTGCCTGATGTATCATGGGATTGCATTATCCATTTTTTTTCCTGATAGATTATAAATATATGTTTAATAATCCTTATACTTTTGACAAATTTTCACTTTTGATCATTTCACCCTCACTCTGCTCTCTGTTTGCTATCTGTTTCACTGGGGACATTTCTCAAAAACTAGTCACCTGAGCAACAGTTACCAAAATGTATCCGTATCCAGCAAGGACCCTGAAGAGCAAAGAACACTCGTATCCTCTCTCCTGACTCCCCTCTGAGGACAATGGGTAGCATCTCAGGCAGAGGTACACGAGATGCCTCTGATCTGCCATTAAAATATTCACTCAGATATCTGATGATCATACTGTTTGCTTTATAGTCATGCAGAGGGATCACTCTTGGCTTTACAAAAGGATGCAGAGAACTCTTTATAGTTGTGTAATGTCCTGACTTTAAAAACAATCTTAATGAATTAATCTTAATGACTAAATCTAAAAATCTGTGAAATCAAAGGAAAGACTCCTATTGATTTCAGCAGGCCCTTCAGAGGCAATCTCCAGAAGTTAATGTGCTGATTATGCATTGGTTTCTTCCTTTGTGATCTGTGCGATTGGTCTCATAATAACAAAGGAATCTAGAGAAATATGTATGAAAAACCAATGCAAGAATATTTCAATAATATTATTTCTGCCATCTTTTGTTTCCCTTTGAAAAATTTGCCATATTCCAACTAATGAATAACTCAGGCAACCCGGTCTCCCAGTGATAAAACCTTTACAGAGAACTCCACTATTGCGTAGTCTCTTCTTTTCTGCTTAATGTTACTTAATGTGAATTTTCTACTAAGAAAGCACAAGTAGCCTAGATAAAATGGAAGTATTGCAAACTTGTCTGGCAGTAAAACTGAATCTTTGCTTGCTCCTGAATATAATACTTATATCAGTGATCAGTGACATTTCTGCTTTACATTTTATACATCATTCACCTGAGTTTTCCAAATCAATCTCTGTAGTGTGACATATCTGTAAAATACCAGTATTTTGCACAACACTGCCCAGCATTATTGTGTGACTAGAATTTCTTTACTGATACAAACTATATATATATATGTAATACTGAAAACAAGTATGAACAGCTGCAATTTTAATTTAAGCATTTGAGAAATTCTCTGCTGCCTAATAAAATTATTTCAGTCAGCAGTGTCATTGGTTTCCATTGTATGCTGGTGAAGCAAAGCACTGAAGTGCAAACTTTGACTTCATCTAGCAATGATCATTTAGTTAGGAGTCAAAAGAAAGTCTGCCTGAAGAGAACTCTGCAAGAAATCCACTGTGACGAAACTGGAATGTGTCTGGGATTTTTCACTTTATTTGTTTCTGCTCATTGCTTTGCCTCTACTGGTTAATGCGTGTTTCCTCAAAGCCTAAAAGATATATGATATGACAGGTAGGCTTTTTTCCTATAGCCCTGAACTTCGTTTTTTTTGAAATTTTCTTGTTGAACCAGAAAGTTATGCAGGTCTTTCTCTGGCAGTAAACTTCTGCATGCACTATTTTTGCAGACAGATGAGAAATGTTATATTATTCTAATAATTTTTTTAGATGTACCTGAATCACAAACAACTTGGGGATGAGCTGTCATGAGGTACATAGAAATGAAAAATAGCATTTCCTCCAGCAACAGCATCATACTCAAAAAATATTTTGAAAACTTGCAGAGAAGTGGTTGGGCTTAGTACACATTCAAATGGAGCAAAACCACAAAACTTAATGAAAATCTGGAGTTTTACTTCTGACTAAGTGAAGCAAACAGCACAGTACAAAAAAAAAAAAAAAAAAAAAAAAAAAAAAAAACACTACATAGGCGATTTCTCAGTTACTATCCATACAAACAGAGCTTGTAAATCTGTGTCAAGACCTGTGTACTTTGTATATTCTGAAGAAGACCCACTTTCCATCCCTGGTCTCCTTCCCTTTCACTGCTAAAATGGCATAGATATGGCTAGAATTGCAGGGGAATAAGTGTTTGGCCTTTCTTGCTCAGGAAAGTGAGCACTCTGCAGTCTGCTTAGCACTGCAGA